TTTTGCTTACAGAATCTTCAAGATTTAAAACCTTTGGATCAGTGTCTAATTGGACAAACTAAGGAAAATAGAAGGAAGAACAGATATAAAAATATACTTCCCTGTAAGTTCCAGCTTAGCTCCAAGTTGAATGTATGCTCAGTATAATTTGAACTAATTTAAACCTTTATGCTAGTTTGCCCATCTGTTTCTCACATAAGCACACACTCACACATATATTCAGAGTCAATGTTAATTCAGCAACAGATAAGTTTTGTTTGTTCAGTAAGAAATACACAATGTGAAGTCCCTTTTAGATTTTCTATATATTCTGAAAATCAATTAGAGGAATCTTAAATATTTCTTCAGGCATTCCTGAATTTTTATTAGCCTAGTATTCAAATTAATCAGTGATGCTAAACCAGTAATTTTAAAGTCTTTTTAAAAAAATGAATTGGCTTCTCTGAGTAATTTCTCAGACTCGTGTCAAAACCAACATCAATTTATTTCACTCATTTTTAAGTTTAGAGAAATTTCTATAGTACATATTAGCTACATACCTGCATATGGCTACAGTGGAACCACCAGGTTGCATTATACTTTTAATCATTTCAGATACCAGAAAGAAATAACAGCAGTTATTTTTACCCATGTTCACCAGTTACCAGTGTAATTTTATGACTATATTATGTAGCCAAAATACCTGGCAACTTCTTACAGTAATTACCTGCCACATTTACATATGTTAGCACATTGGATTAGAAAGTGACACACAGACCCTATGTTTGCCATGAAGTCATAAATCCAAAGATAAAGAAAAGAACCAATAATAACAAATTATGCAATAAATAGAAATACAATTGATTTTTTTTAATCAAGATAGAAGACACAGCATTCATTTTGGAAACTTCCTGTAAGAAGTGAATCTTGGCATTTTAAAAATGGAATAGAACATGGCTTGGCATAACATAGGTGCGAATTGTTTCAGGCAAAAATAATGACCAGACCAGTATCTCAAAGTCAGAATGGGAGAAGCCATAAATTCCAAATGAGTGGATTTGTTTCCATGAGCCAAATGACTGGTTTGAACTAAGAGATAAAAGAAGTCAAGTAGTAGAAGGGCAATTGTTGGAGGATTTTGAAACTTAACAATGAAGAGTTTCAATTTTGTAATCACAATAATTACCAGTTAAATGTATAAATATTTGCAATAGAAATGACTTCTAATGTATGCTGTTGCTATTGTTAGTTACTGTCAAGTTAATTCCAGCAAATATGTACAAATTTATTTTCTTGGATAAACCATTAACTATATAATATCAGTAAAAGATGGCTTATATGTACTTTTCACCGGGGCAGCCTGGATTGAAAAATTATATTTTGACTACAGTTAGACATAGACAAAGGCTTGTGTGCCTGGAGAATAAAGTGAGCTACCTTTTTGTGTTCTATAAAAAGATTTTTTGGCATTATCATTCAGTACTGTTATTATTGTCGTCATCGTTAAGATAGAGAAGAAGTAGCACAGTTTTTGTTTTTCTAGTTACTTATTAAGTTCTAAATGTATTTATGAATTTTAATTTCTCCAACCAAATCTATATGTAAATAATAAATATCAAATTCCATGTGTCAGAAGCTGACATCTTAGATATACTCGTAACATAAATGAAAAGAGTAAATATAAAATAATGTAACTGCACTACAATTGAAAACATACCTCTGTCAAAATGTGTTTGTGATCTCATCTATGGTTAAGAGTAATTCTTCATGATCTTTGACTTGAGCTATTTATAATACTCTTATTTAGAAATGCATGATATAGATGACTCTTTTTTATGGTGGGAAATTCACAGATGATGCTACAAGAGTGCCTCTTGGAGACGAAGGTGGATATATCAACGCGAGCTTCATTAAAATCCCAGTAGGGAAAGAAGAATTTGTTTACATTGCCTGCCAGGGACCTCTCCCAACAACTGTTGGAGATTTCTGGCAGATGATTTGGGAACAGAAATCCACAGTGATAGCCATGATGACCCAGGAAGTAGAAGGAGAAAAAATCAAATGTCAGCGCTATTGGCCTAACATCCCCGGCAAAACGACAATGGTCAGTGACAGGCTTCGGCTGGCTTTTGTGAGAATGCAGCAGCTGAAGGGCTTTGTCGTGAGGGCAATGACCCTAGAAGATATTCAGGTAAGTGAATTAAATCTTTGTTTACTAAGGCTTATCTCCCAGCTAGAATCCAGGCCTGGACTCTTCGCATGATTTCATCAGTGTATTTCTAGATAAAAGCCATTGACTTCTTGGTTCCCATTTCATTGAAAGTAATGTCACTATTCTTTTTTACCTAGTATAAATTTGAAATGTAACCCCCTCCCCTCATGATTCTGCTCAAAGGTTTCCTCCAGTATATACTACATTAAAATGAAAATGAAACGTTTAATGGGATCATCCATCATCCTCTACTTGGTGATAGTACAGAATGGCTCAGAAGCTACTGCTAAAAACTTGCTTAAGGTCAAACCTCTAAGAGGACTCAGTAAAACTGTTTAAAGAGATTTCTAAGTAGAAGATATTTCTTCATAAGGGTAGCTTAACATCATATTTGGGAATACATGGACAAGTGTAGCATAAACAGTTGTTATTCATACAGGTCCTGCTGCAGTCACCTAACCACTAAATATATTTACTTTGAATTAGATGAGTGGGCATACCTTAAATAAAGCCGTTACTGTTTCCTCACCTCCAAACCCCC